CGTTGGCTGGGTCATGTAGCTCGCATGCCCAGCCACCGTATGCCTAAACAGATTTTGTTCGGCTGGATCGAGGGGGCTAAACGGGCGCGGCACGGGCTGGAGAGGAGATGGAATGATGTGGTACAGGAGGACGTGGAACTGAGTGGACTTGCCGATGACTGGTACAAGTGGCGTCAAGATCGGCCTCTGTGGAGGAGGCTCGTGAAGGACGCTATTGGGCAGTTTTAGGCAGTCGCCCTCCAACAACAACGGAGGGCGGAGGAGCGCCGCTCACAACAAAGAGCGGAGCGCCAGGTGGATAAAGCACAGCAAGTTGGCACAGTAGGGGGCACAGGTGGTGAATCAGCCAGTCATCTCAGTCAGTCGACCCATGGCATCTGGGTCTGCCCCGTGACCTCCTGCTGGCGGGCGTTCGACACTTCACGTGGCCTCAAGGTGCACATGGCCTGGCACAAGCATCGTGGTGACGTCACCGCCACTTAGTGGCGAATGGCGGTTATTATTGTTGTTGTGTGTTGGTCAGTGTCTGTGTGTGTAACCAATAAGCTTGTGCCGGAGGCCCCGGGGGGCCAGGCGTCTATGACGTCTCCTGGCCAAACCCCAATTGGCGGAGCCAGGAGATTGCATACCTACCCTCGGGGCTACTCTAGAAACAACGAAAAGCCACTACGGGTGGCCACGTGGAATGTTCGAACGCTCACTGCAGAGGAGAGGCTGCCACTCCTCTGTCGGGAGCTGGACCGGTACCGCCTGGATCTATGCGGCATTCAGGAGGTCCGGTGGACCGGCTCTGGCTCCTGCCACCATGAGGGGTGGACAGTCCTCTACTCGGGGCAGCAGACTGCCAAACAACAGGGTGTGGGTCTTCTTTTGAACAAAATAATTAAGGGGGCGTGGGAGCGTGGCGGTGAGGTGTGGGAAGCTGTAAGCCCCAGGCTACTTTGGGCTCGCCTTCCCATCAACCGGAGGCGAGGAATGGTGGTCGTGGTTACTTATGCCCCCACCGAAGATGAACATCCGTGGAGGGATGCAGGCAAAGCCGATGAGTCAGATGCCTTCTATGACCTCCTGTCACAGGTGCTGGCTAAAGTGGCCCCTCGGGATAGAGTCATCATGTTGGGTGACTTCAATGCCCGAGTTGGTCATGATACTGGCACCTGGTCTGGAGTGATTGGAGGGCATGGGCCAGATCAGCTCAATAACAACGGTAGGAGGCTGCTAGATTTTTGTGCAGCCCATGGGCTTGTAATTACCAACACGCTGTTCCGGCATCGGCGCATCCACACAACATCATGGATGCATGCCGGGTCCAAGCAAGAACATCTGCTGGACTACATAGTGACGGACCAGCGAATGCGAGCCCATGTCCTTGACACCAGGACCTACCGTGGAGCTGATCTGCCCTCTGACCATCGACTAGTCATCTGTAAGATGCGCCTGCCATTCTTCCACTCCGGTGGTGGGTGTACACCCAGGACCCCATTCCAACATAAAGTGGCCTGGTCTCAGTTATCTGATGAAAGTTGCAAGCGAGAATTTCATCATCGCTTGCGGCTGGGATTGGCATCGTCCCCGACTCCTCCTGATGTCGAGGGTAAATGGGCGAGGTTTAGGACTGTGACTCATGCAGCTGCAATGGCTGCTTTGGGTACGCGGTCCAGACCTCCCCAGAGACCCTGGCTGACAGAGGAGGTGTTCAGGATGGTTGAGAAAAAGCGACAGGCCCACTGTCATCGGCTACAGAATCCCACGTCAGAGAATGAGGAGGCTTACCGCAGCCTTCGCTCGGAGGGTCGGAGAGCTGTGAGGCGCTGCAAGGATGGGTGGTGGTCGCGGGTTGCTGAGGAGATGGAGTCTGCCTCAGTGGCCCGTGATCACAAATCTCTATTTAACTCCATCAAAAAAGTAACCTGCAGCGCCACACCTATTACCATCATTAGGGGAAAAAACAGTGATCCAATCTCCGACCCCCAGGAACAGGTTCGCAGATTTGCTGAGCATTTCCGTGAGGTCCTGGGGGAGGGAAAATCCCTCAGCCAGGAAAACATCGTGGCACAAAGTGAGGATGACCCTGCTGAGGCTGCGGTGCCTCAAATATTGGAAGAAGTCACCCCCTGTGAGTGGCTGGCTGAGGTGCCATCTGCTGAGGAAGTATTGAGGGCGATCCGGAGTCTGAGACCAGGAAAGGCAGCGGGCAGAGATGATCTCCCAAGCGAAATGCTGAGGGAGGGTGGCGTTTGTGCACAGACTGCCCTATATGACATCATAACAACAGTCTGGACCACTGGACGGGTTCCGCAGGATTGGAAGGATGCCCTGGTGGTCCCCCTTTTTAAGAAGGGGGACCGCACAGATTGTAACAACTACAGGGGCATCTCACTCCTCAGTGTGCCGGGAAAGGTCCTGGCAAGGATTATTCAGCATCGCCTTGCCAGGCACGCTGAGGAGAGGCTTGCGGAGCCCCAATGTGGTTTCAGGAAAGGGCGGTCCTGCACAGATGCCATATTTTCTGTCCGTCTGCTACAGCAGAGGTGTAGGGAATTCCAACAAGACCTACATCTCTGCTTTATTGACCTGGTCAAGGCCTATGATACCATCAGTAGGCCTGGGCTCTGGGTCGTTCTTCGTGCTTTTGGAGTACCTGACCCTCTGCTCACGATCATTAAGGACCTTCATGATGGTGAGCGGGCCCGGGTAAAACTACGTGGCCGGGAGTCAGAGCCATTCCCTGTACACCTTGGGGTGCGACAGGGATGTCCTCTGGCTCCCACATTATTTAACATCTATTTTGACCACGTAGTTCGTGAAGCCTTCAATAGCTGTACCGGGGGAATCTCCATATGGTACAGATATAATGGGAGGCTAATCGATGCCCGGGTGCGGTCAAGGGATGGCTCCCTATTGCTCAACCACGTTATGTATGCTGATGATTTGGTAATAGCTGCTCAGTCAGAGGAGGAGTTGGAGACGCTGCTGCTGAGACTGGAGCGTGCCACTAAGAGGTGGGGCCTTACCATCAGCCCCACCAAAACTAAGCACCTGCCTGGGTATTTTGTACCATCGGACACTCCACCCCCACAACTCCCAATCGGTGATGGGGCAGTTGTGGAGAGAGTGGAGAGTTTCCCATACCTGGGCAGTGTGCTTATGACTGGCTCCAGTTTAACAGCAGAGGTCTCACTCCGAATCAGTCGAGCGGCAATATCTTTTCATCGGTTGCGTAACGCTGTGTGGAAGCTACCTGGTCTGTCGCTCCGCACTAAGCTTCGGGTCTTCTCGGCCACGGTCATTCCCTCCCTTCTCTACGCTTGCGAAACGTGGACCCCCCTAATGGAACATCCTCGCCGGTTAGAAACATTTAGGCTGGCCTGCCTACGATCCATCCTGGGTTTAACCAGACTGGATTGTGTGAGGAGCTCACAAATCCTTGAAAGATCTGGGCAGGGTCCCATCGGTGAGCTCCTCCGGCAGGCAAGGCTGCGATGGCTGGGTCATGTAGCCCGCATGCCCAGCCACCGCATGCCGAAACAGCTTTTGTTTGGCCGGATTGAGGGGGCTAAGCGGGCGCGGCACGGGCTAGAGAAGAGATGGAGTGATGTGGTACAGGAGGACGTGGAGCTGAGTGGACTTGCCGATGACTGGTACCAGCGGTGTCAAGATCGGCCTCTGTGGAGGAGGCTCGTGAAGGACGCTACTGGGCAGTTGGAGGCAGTCGCCCTCCAACAACAACGGAGGGCGGAGGAGCGACGCTCAGAACAACGAGCGGAGCGCCGGGTGGCTAAAGCACAGGAGGTTGGCACAGTAGGGGGCACAGGTGGTGCATCAGCCAGTCATCTCAGTCAGTCGACCCGTGGCACCTGGGTCTGCCCAGTGACCTCCTGCCAGCGGGCGTTCGACACTTCATGTGGCCTCACGGTGCACATAGCCTGGCACAAGCGTCGTGGTGACGTCACCGCCACTTAGTGGCGAATGGCGGTTGTTGTTGTTGTGTGTGTAAGTTGATGTGTCTGTCTGTCTTTTTCGCCCGGGCAACGCCGGGTACTTCCCGCTAGTTACCAATATAATTGTTTTCAAGAACACAACATCTGTGTATATATGTTTATTGCATAATTACATGTATGCACAGAAGCTCCAAACTTTTTACACACGTTTGTGTTGTTTGAAATGTATGGTTTTCTGGCCTGAATTTGACTATGTTAATATTGCTCTGCGGTCGTCCATTAACATGCTAATCACTCACATTAACATCGCCACCTCAGGGCGCTGGCCGTGGAGGCAGCTCAACGATCGCACATTAACATGCTAATTTTTACTTGGCAGCCCTTTGATTGGTGGAAAACCAACCACCGTCGTGGTCGCTGCCCACCACTTACATTAACATTGGCTGCTGACATTTGGGCTACTCCCATTTCAAAACTTTATAAACAATTTGCCTTTAGAAGCTAACCCCCTCTTCCTGATGACGAACACTTGTGTTGCGATCGATTCGTCGTAGTTTTTTGTTATTTTCTTTGAACCTATCTACATGACTTTGCCAAAAGACCCAAAGAATCTGATACTTTACAATTCATGCAGGTTAAACTTTTCAACTATTTTTTTTTATTTTACCAGCTATACAGCTCTTTTTCAGAAGCGACCTGGGCACAAATGATAGCTCCACAAAGTGGCTTATCAAGTGGAAATTTATAGCAGCCAAATACCCTAAGCACATGTTTCTAAATTGTGTGGGGATCGAACTCACAATCTCCTGTATACCAGGCGAGGTAGTTAACATCTTGCCACCGTAGTGCCCATTAGCTTATTATCAAATATGAAACTTTTTATTTATTTTACCAGGTTAAGGCAAAATGCCGGCGTTACTGGCAATAATCAGGATTTGATTGGTATATTTGGCCTCCTGCATGTTTGGCGATCGAGCTGCGCTGAGGGGACGTGGTATGAATAATGAATGATCACGACGTAATGATGATGTCGATGTGTATCGTGGGATCCCTTCTTACCTGGCGGCAGGCTCGCCTGCACTCGTTAGCGATGGCCAACTCGCAGCATCCTAGCCCCACCCAGCCCTCCGGCTTCCTCTGCACTCCTGGTGGGGGGAGGGGGGGGGGCGGGATGGGTGAGGTGAGGTGGGTGCTGAGCGGTGAATGGTGAAAAAGGTGATGCGGTAAAACTGTCAAATTCACAAAGTTGATATTTCAGTAAAAGTTTGAGACCATGCCACCCTAATTTCAAGCGATCATGAGACCCAAAACAATGCAATAATTGAAAATAATATTGACATACAGTGAGGGAAAAAAGGATTTGATCCCCTGCTGATTTTTTACGTTTGCCCACTGACAATGAAATGATCAGTCTATAATATTAATGGTAGGTTTATTTGAACAGTGAGAGACAGAATAACAACAAAAATCCAGAAAAACGCATGTCGAAAATGTTATAAATTGATTTGCATTTTAATGAGGGAAATAAGTATTTGACCCCTCTGCAAAACATGACGCAGTACTTGGTGGCAAAACCCTTGTTGGCAATCACAGAGGTCAGACGTTTCTTGTAGTTGGCCACCAGGTTTGCACACATCTCAGGAGGGATTTTGTCCCACTCCTCTTTGCAGATCTTCTTCAAGTCATTAAGGTTTCGAGGCTGACGTTTGGCAACTCGAACCTTCAGCTCCCTCCACAGATTTTCTATGGGATTAAGGTCTGGAAACTGGCTAGGCCACTCCAGGACCTTAATGTGCTTATTCTTGAGCCACTCCTTTGTTGCCTTGGCCGTGTGTTTTGGGTCATTGTCATGCTGGAATACCCATCCACGACCCATTTTCAATGCCCTGGCTGAGGGAAGGAGGTTCTCACCCAAGATTTGACGGTACATGGCCCCGTCCATCGTCCCTTTGATGCGGTGAAGTTGTCCTGTCCCCTTAGCAGAAAAACACCCCCAAAGCATAATGTTTCCACCTCCATGTTTGACGGTGGGGATGGTGTTCTTGGGGTCATAGGCAGCATTCCTCCTCCTCCAAACACGGCGAGTTGAGTTGATGCCAAAGAGCTCCATTTTGGTCTCATCTGACCACAACACTTTCACCAAGATGTCCTCTGAATCATTCAGTTGTTCATTGGCAAACTTCAGACGGGCATGTATATGTGCTTTCTTGAGCAGGGGGACCTTGCGGGCGCTGCAGGATTTCAGTCCTTCACGGCGTAGTGTGTTACCAATTGTTTTTTTGGTGACTATGGTCCCAGCTGCCTTGAGATCATTGACAAGATCCTCCCGTGTAGTTCTGGGCTGATTCCTCACCGTTCTCATGATCATTGCAACTCAGCGAGGTGAAATCTTGCATGGAGCCCCAGGCCGAGGGAGATTGACAGTTCTTTTGTGTTTCTTCCATTTGCGAATAATCGCACCAACTGTTGTCACCTTCTCACCAAGCTGCTTGGCAATGGTCGTGTAGCCCATTCCAGCCTTGTGTAGGTCTACAATCTTGTCCCTGACATCCTTGGAGAGCTCTGTGGTCTTGGCCATGGTGGAGAGTTTGGAATGTGATTGATTGATTGCTTCTGTGGACAGGTGTATTTTATACAGGTAACAAGCTGAGATTAGGAGCACTCCCTTTAAGAGTGTGCTCCTAATCTCAGCTCGTTACCTGTATAAAAGACACCTGGGAACCAGAAATCTTTCTGATTGAGAGGGGGTCAAATACTTATATCCCTCATTAAAATGTAAATGAATTTATAACATTTTTGACATGCGTTTTTCTGGATTTTGTTGTTGTTATTCTGTCTCTCACTGTTCAAATAAACCTACCATTAAAATGATAGACTGATCATTTCTTTGTCAGTGGGCAAACGTACAAAATCAGCAGGGGATCAAATACTTTTTTTCCCTCACTGTATTTTAACAGAAATCCACAGCAGGATGGGGGTTGCTTGATCATACTTCACCAAACTGGTCAGTGCAAGTTGTTGAAATGGCTACCTAGGACCAGTTCAGATCAAATGTCCCACTCTTGTAAACAATACTCTTGGTTCTTTCGGTAAAGTCACGTCTTGTAAACAATGACTGGAAATCAAACTCAGGCCTCCGGGTTCACAGTACAACACGCTAACCACTTCGCCACCGCTCCACCCCGTACTTTTAAATATATTTAAATATATTAAGTCATAAAATGCAATTCTATTTAATTTTCACCATAAACATTGAATGTATTCAACGCATAAAAGTTTAATGTGCCACATTTTTCCATTAAATTCCCTCAGCAGTCCTAGAATGGCAGATTTTGCATTCGGGTTTACTGTACGGCATACAATCAAATTGCAGAGCAGTGGGAATAGGCAGCATTTCTACCATCTTCAATTTCACACATCGGGATGCTTCCAGGCATTCTCCGCACCAAAAAAAACCCATCTCATTTGCTAGGGGTTTCCATCGGTAGTGGAACCCAGCGGGGCCCCTATCCGCTTTAATGGAGGGAGCGCATTTTTGTTAAATGCCAGGCTGCTTGCTGTCTCAGGCAGAAACATATGGCAGGAAGAAACATCATCACTAACAAGCACTCATAATGAGGACATTAATTGGGTTTGAAATCAATTAACAGGCCCTCGGTTCTCACTGCAGGGGCCACCACTGGGTGCACGCATACACACCACATGACAATAGGGAAGGAGAAATATAATGGCAATGTGGGTTTTCGGGGGAGCGAATCAGTGCTGGTTCGTAGCAGAAAACCTCCTCCTCCTCTTCATGCGAGGCACATTGGCGTCAGCCTCGGTTGTAGTTCGTGCACAATAGCAGACTTGGCAACACTGCCGAATTAGGCGTTAGACTGCCGATTTTTTAACTTTCCTTTAACGGAACATTTTCCAAAGCTAATCATACCGCTGGATGCCGTCTTAGGAGAGGGGAAAATCACGTAGAAATCGTCGCGTGGTGAAAGTGTTTAAAAATCGACAGCCTGCCGCTTGCATCGGCAGTGTGGGCGAGTGTGCATTAATGATTTGCTACGGGCAAGTGTCACCCCTCCATCCTATGTTATCCTGTGTTCCACCAGGTGTATGTTATCGAATGCATCTAATAGAGTGTGACTCGTCATATTAAGTAGTCAAAATAAATTAATAAGATACAGAATGCTGAGTGTGTCTTGTCATATTAAGTAGCCAAAGAATATTACGTATAGAATTATGCAGACACACGTCATTACACTCAGGGTCAATGTAGAGTAAATGCCAGGTATGACAGCGATACAAACTGGCGCACAAACTGAAGTTATTTATAACTGGCCAAATATACCACAGTAATTATCATAATACTAATCACACTGTAATGCGTGCATGTCAGTGCACTCGACTATGTATACCGAGAACTACACTTGATTCCCAGCCAGTGAGTGGTATCAACATTTGCGCTGGGCCTCCCATAGGTTGACTCAGCCTTAAAAAGTAAACCTGTTGCGGGTGTGTAAACATCAGCGCTGGGGAGACAAAGGGTGTTGTGTAGGCCATGCCATCCCCTTATGTGCAGGCCTTAATAGGTAACGGCACTTGCCCCACACGTTTATGAAGGCTGTTACGGAAAATTGTTATGAGTCTAAAAAAATCCTTGACAGAGCCAGTGCAGACAGGTTCCTCATCTTCTGAGGTCCACCACAGTAATGACAACCATACTGACACCACCAGTGCTCGATACAGCATAACTGTGCCTACTTGCGCATCACATTTGGCAGCGTGAAATGTCTTCCTTTTCCAGCACCCTTTGTTTCCAAGGTGACAGCTTTCAAACAAAACTGCACATTTTCCGTTTCCTTGGAAACCAAGTTGAAGAGTAATGGGCCAAGTGGAGCCTATCCAATGGGGAACTTCATTGTGACTTGAGTAGGCGAGCACAGATGGGTGCCGTCTCTTACGCCAGCCCTCATTGCCCTGGTCCCAACCATGCTAATAGCACACACACTCGCTTTGAATGTCTCAAAGCTTCGGTTATCAACAGCTGCTCTTTCACAACAATTAACAGGTCCTACTGAACACAGCATGTGGTCGTCATTTCATTTCAACCTGTGATGTAGATTGACCTGTGTTAATCCGAAATTAGATTTTCAGATTAAACATTGATTTGCTTCTCAGAGAAACAAATCCAAGTCGATGTGAAACACAGGGAGCTTTGCATTAATTTATAATCATGGATGGCGGATGTCTAATTGCACAGACAAATACCCGACTACAATAATTCATGCATTAACTCTATCCACTTTGGTGGACTGCTACTACATATATGACTGCTGTGAAATTATATTTTAAAATGTCAACACATTCCAGGGAGGTTGCTTTGACATCGGGTGCAGAGTGCCAAGGTCGTGAACCTTCCCGTGTCACTCTGACCGTAACCCCAGCAGTGCCATTCCTTTCTGAGAATAGATAAAAATTAAAAAATGACCCTACTAATAGCCTAGCGATAAAAACCAACAAGATCATCACAAGTTTGACCTCCCTAATCGAACCAACTAAACGTCCCTCCCTAAAACCTTCTGCTGCAAGACCCCCTAGATTCTATGGTCTTCCCAAGATTCATAAAGAAGGCACCCCACTACGACCCATCGTATCCACGATAAACTCCCCTACCTATAGACTAGCCCGTTTTCTGTCAGATACCTTGCTGCCTTTCACGGGCAAGACCGCCTCAGCAGTACTTAACTCAGTCCAATTGGTCTCTATGGTCAAAGACTTTGTACTGTCCCCTGACGATATCCTTGTCAGCTTCGATGTGGTCTCTCTGTTCACCAAGGTCCCAGTACTTGATACCATTGAAATAATTGAAAATTTGGTCCAACATGGACTAGACCCCGATACACCTGCGCTGGTTAGGCACTGCCTCACCAATACCTACTTTACTTGGAATGGCACCTTCTACAAACAAAATGAGGGTAACCCCATGGGATCCCCCTTGTCACCAGTAATAGCCAATATTTTCATGGAAAATTTTGAATCAGACGCCATCCAGACTTCCACCCTCAGACCATCCCTGTGGAAGAGATATGTAGATGACACTTTCGTCATTTGGCCACATGGCCTCCCAGCTTTGAACCTTTTCCTAGACCAC